CTTTCGGCACACGTTTTGACCCCGTGGGGCTAACGAAGTGCTGCCGAAATTTTCTGATTTTTTTTTTTTTTTCTTACTAAGTTTTCTCGGCACACTTCGACCCCATGGGGGTAACGAAATGCTGCCAAAATTTCTGAAAAATCAGATAACCCATTTCTCCCCACCTCCTCACACACTTATTTACTTACTTATTTATTTATTATTTCTTTATTTATTCTCTGAAATTTCTTTTATTTATTTATTTATTTGCGGCATCTCTAGTGTGCACACCTCGGTCTCTCCTTTTCCCTTGGCACATTCTTGACCCCGTGGGGGGTAGGGAAATGCTGCCGAAAATTTCAAAAAAATAAATATTGTTTCTCTTCACATCTTTTTACTTATTTCTTTACTTATTTTTATTATTTATTTATTTTCTTAGTTATTTTTATTTTCTCCCGAAATCTCGCTGTTTATTTATTTTTCTCCCGTCTCCCCCCCCCCCTATGCTTGCTATTTCACTTTCTTGATTAGGTCACCGGTACCCTACCCTAGCCTTAAACCTCGGTTAGGGTTTTCTTAGGGTTTTCGTAGGGTTTAGGGTTCCTCAAAACCCCCTACTTCCCCATCCTCTTCGGGCACCCTGGACTCGAACCACCCGTCCCCCTTTGACGGCGCCCGTGCTAGCCTTGCTAGCGCCGTTCGCCGCTTTCTACCGCGGACTCCCCCCTACGCCCTCTGCTCACGCGGACCTCTTCTGGCCCTCTCCAGTCCGGTCCGTCATCTCCCCATGGCCGACGGTGCGTCACACGCCGCCGACACGACGATGACCACGGCATCGGGCTTCACACCCGTGCCGGCGGACCTGGGCCATCAGCCCCAGGGGGATCTACACACCCTCCTCACCTCCCTCCTTGCGCCCATCCAGGGGCAACTCGCGACCCTTGCGCCCATCCAGGCGCAACTCGCGACCCTCGCGCCCTTACAGGCGCAGGTGGCGACCCTTGCCGCTGACATGCAGGAACTCCAGGACGCTGCGTGTCCGTCATCTCCTGGCTCCCAGTCCGGGTCCCCCGTCCTCCGACAGGGTGGCCACGGCAGAGCTTCCTCCTCCGTTGCCCCTGACCCGGCCATCTTGGTGAATGTCCACGCCCCTAGCACGACGGCCGCCACGAGCCAGGCCCCCCCTCAGTCTACGGGCGCACCTGCCCAGATTCCGGTCACTACGGCCACAGCACAACAACCCGCTACCATGGTCTCAGCTTTTCTGGGTGCCCCGCTCCTCCCCCCCCTTCGCACGACCGCAGCGCCACCTGGCTCTCCCCCCTCTGGGATGCCCCGCGCCGCTTGTGCGTCCACCCCCTCCACTCTTCCTCCTGCCACCCCTCGATCGACCTATGTTCGAGGTCTCGCGGACGAGATTGCCCAGCTCCGGGCCGACCTCGCCCTCTTACGCCTTCAGCCACCCCCACCCTCACAGGTGGCCGCGCCTTCGGGCGCACCCCCTACCTCCTCTACCCTTCCTCCCATGCAGGCTCGCTTTTCGCGCCCTGCATCCTATACAACTCCTTCCTACCTTCTTCCTACTTCCGCGGTTGCTGCGACCTCTTCTACCACAGCACCCTCGCAGCCTGCTGCTGTTGCCACCGCCGCTCCCCCATGAGGCCCGGGCGCACAGTCAGCTGCGCCCCTTTCTCCATGACCTGCGCCGACTTACTCAGCCATGGCACAGGCCTCCGCTCCTCGATCCCCTCGCCGCCAAAACGGTGGCGCACCACTCATCCGCTTGTCGGACATTGCCTTGTATGACGGTACAGGCATACGCGTGTCTCGGTGGCTGCAGTCTGCCACCTGCACATTCCAGCTCATGGGCGCCACACCCGAGACGTAGGTGGGTCACCTCTCCACTCGCCTGCGTGGCGGTCCTTTCGAGGCCTGGGAGGATTTCTATGCCTACTCCCTTCGTGAGGGTCGGACTCCGACCTTCGTGGATTTCCAGGCGTTCCTCGAGGATCGGTTCGGAGCCCGATATGACGTGACTTACGTCTTCGAGCGTGTCGTCACTACACGCTGGTCAGGCTCTGGTGGCGCTGCCGGCCTGGATCGCCACATCTAGGTCTTTCAGGACGCCCGCCTTGTTTGCGACGTGGCGTTCCTCCCCGAGGCTGCCCTTATCGATCGTTTCTTGGCCAGCCTTCCGCTCGAGTACCGCTCCGAGCTATGGCGGTACGAGTTCACATCGACCCCACAGGCTTACGAGGCCACCAGGGACCACCAGCGGATGCGAGCCCGTCTTCACCCCGCCTCCTCCTCCCAGCCCCAGCGCACGGGCTACGCCCTGTCTCTTATACACATCTAGATGTGTATAAGAGACAGCTCCTCCTCCTCTCGCGACACTTCCCAACGTCGTTCCCCTTTCCGCGGTCGCCCCCGCCTTTCCACGCAGCAGGGCCGCCACTTCTTGCGCCGCTTCAGCGCGCTGGAGTATGGTGAGCAGGACGTTGTTGCCCCACTGTCACCTGAAGGCGACCACAGCGACGACCTCGACCTCTGCGAGGCCGTCCACTATCACTTGGAGGACTCGACCCTCCCTGCAGCTGAGCGCCTTCAGCTCGCCCTCTCCGCCCTCTCTCGGGCACGCAGCCGCCCCGGTCACGCTGGCGCGTCGTCCCCCGAGGTCACCTCCCTCAGGGCTTCGTCCCTCCTCGCGGTGTCCTTTCAGCTGAGGAGCGCGCGGCTATTCTGGGCCGACGTGGGTGTTTGTGCTGCCGCTTGGACGGTCATACCTCCTCGCGGTGCCCTTACACTACCGCCCTCGACCGCCACTACGCTGATGTTTCTCGTCAGCGTCGTGCTCAGTCCCCCCCCGGCGCCTCACGTCCCGGCGGCGCCTCCTAGCCACGGTGCAGTGTACACCTGCGCCCTCCTCAGTAGTGGGCTTCCCGACATCTCCGTCGCAGTTCGCTCCTCTCGCTACTGGAGTTGAGGTGTCGCAGGACTCCACAGAGTGTACTCAGCCCTCTGTCGCAGTACCGTCTGCGCCTCCGCCGACCACCGTCTCCCCTCCTTCCCCGCTGCGACTACCGACGCGTCGAGCCATTCGCTCAGCCTGTTGCAGCGAGCAGCTTGCTACTCGCGAGGACGTTGTGTCCTCGCTTCTGGACTTGAGCATGCTCCATGCTCGTCAGGAGCGACTCACCCTCCATGTCGCTGCACTGTGTCGCCTTCTCGCCATCCTCTCTGACCCTGATCGCACCCTCCCGATCATCCCAGTACGACTCGGGACCTCCACGAGGGTGTACTCAGCGCTGTGGGATTCCGGTTCTCAGGGCGACTTCATTCACCCACGCGTGGTGAAGGAAGCCCGCTTACCCACGACAGGGTCTTCGACTCCCATCTCCGTTACCCTAGGGGATGACAAGACCCAACGCTTCTTCGATCACACGGTCGCCGACCTCCCCTTCTTCCTCACTCTCGAGCCGACTGATCGTTCCCCGGCGTCTCGTTGCTACCGCTCCTCTGCACATTTCGATGTGATGGAGACGGGGTACGACTTCATTCTCGGCACTCCGTGGTCTCGTCGGTTCCGCAACACCGAGGCCGATTGGGCGACCAACACTATCGTTTTCAAAACAAAGTGTGGACAGACGTATCACGTACCTTTCAGAGGTACCACGGCGACACCACGCCCCGATCCTCCTCCCCCGGAGCCTTCAGTGCCCACACCATCTCCGTCTATCACTGTCACCTCATCTCGGCAGTTCGCTCACTTCATTCGACAGGACGACGTCACCTTCTTTATGGTGGACGTGACGGATCTCTTACACTATGATCCACCCTGTCTCGACGCCGAGCTCATCCCTCTGGAGCTAGATCCTCCCTCTATCTCCATGACTCCCATCTCTACTTCCGTCCCTCCGCCGAACGTCGAGTCCACCCCGCCGTCTAGCGCTGATGCTGACGCTGAGGAACTCGCACGATATACGGCTGACCTGGAGCCGACAGTTCGTGACCTCATCCGAGAGTACCACGACGTTTTCCGACCGTCGTTCTCGTACACCGGCATCCCACCGATGCGTGACGTCGAGCACTCCATTCAACTTGTGCCTGACTATCGTGTTCACCACCAGACACCCTACAGACTCTCGATTCGCGAGGCCACCGAACTCAAGTGTCAGCTTGAGGAGCTCCTCAGACTGGGTTTCATTAAACCCAGCAACTCCTAGTGGGGTGCACCTGTCCTCTTTGCTCGCAAAGCGGATGGAACTCTCCGTCTCTGCATCGACTATCGCGGTCTCAACCACTACACGGTTAAGAACAGCTACCCCATGCCTCGTTCCGATGAGTTGTTCAACCGCGTAGCAGGCAACCGCTTCTTTACGAAGATTGATCTTCGTTGCGGTTACCATCAGATCCACGTCGCTGCAGCCGACCAGCTGAAGACAGCGTTCCGATCGCACTTCGGCCACTACGAGTTTACGGTGATGCCATTCGGCCTCACCAATGCACCCGCCACCTTCCAAAGGGCGATGAATGACATCTTCAGGGACATCCTGGAGCAGTACGTTCTCGTCTACCTCGACGATATCCTGGTCTACAGTCGTACCCTTGAGGAGCACCTCAAACACCTCCGCGACGTCCTTGACCGCTTGCGCAGACATAGCTTCTACGCCGAGCTGAGCAAGTGCCGCTTTGCCCAACACAAAGTGGATTTCTTAGGACACTACGTGTCTGACCAGGGTTTCCACATGGACGACGCGAAGATCACTGCTAGTGCAGAGTGGCCCGCCCCCACATCCGCCAAGCAGCTTCGCAACTTCCTAGGTCTGACCAGCCACTATAGTAACTTCATCCGGGGATACGCTAGGTATTCCTACGTCCTTACCTCCACCCTCCTCCGGAAGAACCCACCCTGGGCTTGGACGCCCCTCCACGAGGACGCCTTCCGCGCCCTCAAGAAGGCGGTGACATGCGCACCAGTTCTTCACCTACCCGATTTTGACCGCCCTTTTATCCTTACCATCGATGCTTCAGACTTCGTTGTAGGAGCAGTGCTTTCTCAGGTTTTCCCCTCCTCCCCTGATTCCTATCATCCTCGTATCCCTCGCTTCCCACCACCTACCCCTACCACTGCTTCCCGACTGACGCCTACTCGTCCAGCTACTGACGAGCCTTCTATTGACTATTCTCCTACCATCACCGAGGACGGCACTGTCGAGTCTCGCTCCGGTGATTGTCCGATAGCCTTCTACTCCCGTCAGCTTCTGCCCGTCGAGATAAACTACACCGCTGATGAACGTGAGGTTCTCACAGTAGTTTATGTCGCTCAGCACTGGCGTCACTACCTGCACGGGGCACCGTTCACGGTGCGTACAGACAACTCTGTTGTCCAGGCTTTTCTGACCAATCCGAAGCTCACTCCTCGACAAGCTCGCTGGTGGCGCGACCTATCCGAGTTTAGTTTCACCACTGAGCACATCAAGGGTGAAACTAATCGGGTCGCAGATGCCTTATCCCGGCGCCCTGACCACGACCAGGAGCACATCCAGCTCTCTTCCATCTCGGTCACCACCGTCCACCACTCGGTGATCGACGAGTTTCGCACTCAGTACCGCCACTGCCCCGACTATCACGACATCCACGCGACCCTTCGGAGTGGCAAGACCGTCCCGAACTACTCTCTCGGGGACAACGGTCTTGTGTACTGGCACGGCTCACAGGGCACCAGAGAGCCCCGTATTTGTGTTCCCTCCACTGGACCGCTACGTGTCCGAGCAGTAGCAGAGTTCCATGACCAGGCAGCTGCCGGTCATATGGGCTTCCACAAGACGTTGGCTCGTGTGAGCCGCCTGTACGTCTGGCCGAAGCGCAAGGACTTTGTGAAGGACAACGTCGCAGAGTGTCCCACCTGTCAGGACGTGAACAGTGCGAACCACCTACCTTATGGTTTGCTCCAACCTCTTCCTATCCCTGAGGGTCGTTGGCAGTCCATCTCGATGGACTTTATCGGTCCTCTTCGACCTCCGACCCCCTGCGGTCATGATGCTATCCTGATCGTCGTCGACCGCTTCACGAAGCGTGCACGCTTTGTTCCGTGTCGCTATGCCATCAGTGCACGTGAGGTCGCCGACATCGTATTTGACCAAGTCGTGCGTGACCACGGCTTACCTCTGAGCATCATATCTGACCGTGACCCGTGTTTTACGAGCCGATTCCGGCGACGGCTCCACGAGGTGTACGGCACTCAGCTCCGCTTCTCCTCGTCTTACCATCCTCAGACTGATGGTCAGACCGAGATCACGAACAGGACTCTCGGGGATATTCTCCGAAAGATTGTTCGTGACGACCAGCAGTGGGATCTCCATCTTGCCCACGCGGAGATAGCCTACAACCACGCCGTCTCGCAAGCCACGGGGATGTCGCCTTACTATTGCGACCTCGGCTATCACCCTCGTGTTCCCGCATACTTCCTTCGACCGTCCCACATGCACCCTGACACGAGTTGTCCCACGCTGGATGATTGGGTTGCACACATGACGTCGATTATGAAGACCGCACATGAGCACATAGCCACTTCCCAGACTCGCATGGCAGCACGTGCGAACCGATCGAGAATGGATCATCCATTCAAAGTCGGTGATGATGTGCTTATCGACGCCCACCACTTACAGCTCGAAGCGGACACGCTTCGCAAGTTTCGGCGTCGCTTCTTTGGCCCATGCCGCATCCTCCAGGCCGTCGGTTCTGATACGGCATCTAGCCCGGTCAGCTTT